GGGAGCTGCGTCCCCCAGGGCCACTGTCTTGCCCCGACACCACCTTGGAGCTGATAATGAACCCATTTGCTCTCGTGACAGCCGTGGCCTTTAGCGTGCACGGCCTTTTCCTTTCCAAAGGGTTCCTCCCAATTTGCTTTTACAGAGCAGTCACATCTTCTGCCTGCTCATGGTCTCAATAAGGTGGGATGCTTTAGTCGGCCCCCGCCTCTCACCCTGCTGTGCCTCACAGCTTGGGTATTCCTGCTCCAGAGGAAACAGATCCCTAATGCTGGGAGCCTTCACCATCATCCGAGTGGTTTGGATTCTGGAATCCCRGAATCCCAGGATGGCTGAGGTTGGAAGGGACCTCTAGAGATCACCCAGTTCAACCCCCTGCTCCAGCAGGGACACCCAGAGCTCGGGGCACCCGGTCMCATCCCGGCGGGTTGGCAGATCTGCAGAGCAGGAGCCTCCGCAGCCTCCCTGGGCAGCCTGGGCCAGGGCTGGGCACCCTCACACCAAACAAGTTCTTCCTCATGGCCACATGTTGCTGCCCGGGCTCCAACCTGCACCCACTGCCCCTTGKCCTGGCACTGGCCACCACCGAGAAGAGCTYGGCCCCTTCCTCCCTACATCCTCCCCTCGGGTACTTGTACCTGTTGATGAGATCCCCTCTCAATCCTCTCCCAGCCCACAACCCTCCGGCGCTGCTTTGGGAACAGCGGGGACAGAGCCATGGCCGGGCCCCGCAGGAGGGCCAGGGCGAGGAGGGACGGGCCGAAACGGGGCCCGGAGCCCCAGCTCCGATGGTGGCGCCTCCTCTTCCCCCATGGACGGGTCTCGCCTGGGGCTTGTCCCACAGCGATGGCATCTGCCAGCCAGGAAAAGCCACGCGGGTCTAAAGAGGGGCAGAGCAAACGCCCCGTGTCCGCGGGGCCGCTGTGAGGTGGGAAAGGCGGGCGCTGCCCCCTGCTTCCCCGGGGACCAGGGGCGCGGAAGGCGGCGCCGGGAGCACAGAGCCACTCGCTGCCTCGGGCAAGGCTTTATTCCTCCGGGGTGGCGGATGTGCAACACGGAACGGTTCTGGGCGCCACGCGCCCACGACGGACCCACACACGGACACGGCACCGTCTGCYGCCCTACGGCAACGAGTGCAATGGGGAATCCACGGGAACACGAGGAGGAAAAGGCGCTTCCAAGCCACAGGTATCCTCTCCAGGGCGGCAAAGCGGCTGATTTTTGCCCTTTGCAGCGTTTTGCTTCTCCCAGAGCAYGGCCAGCAGCCGCTGGGGCGCAGAGCTCCCCAGGGCGGCGGGCAGCGGGCAGCGGCCACTGCCGTCCCACGGGGATCCCACGGAGATGTCCCTGTTTTCCTGCAGCGACACGCGGTGAAAGCAAGCGCGGGCCGAGCGGCGTCTCCCGGCCGCACTCGGGATTATCCAGCAGCTGGTTGGGAGCAGGAGCGTGGCCATATGGTGCTGCTAACAAGCATTTACTGGAGCCGGTTCCTTCCTGAGATTCCCAGGTGCCTGATTAGCGCTCAGCCCCTCTGAGCAATTTTCGGATTTGCGCCCTCTCCTCCCCCCRAATCCTTCCTTTTTTCTTCTTGGCATTAAAAAAATCAGAGCCAGCCAGCATGCGAGCACAAGACTGGGTTAAAAAATGCAAAGTTTTAAAAATGATGATTTCCGGAAGTGTATTAAATAGCTAAAACGTAATTCATTTTTCTTTTATTTTCCTGTGATCGTATTTTTTGCTGGGAAATGCGCCACCGGTTTGGAAGGTGCTCCCGAGGCCACAAAGCACCCGCAGTGCCGCCCTGGCCGGGACCCAGCCCCTCCCGGGGCCGCTGCCTCCCTCAGGCACGGGAGGAATTTACAGATTTATTTTTTTCCTTTTTATTTTTTTGCAGATTTCTTTTTTTTTTCTTTTTTTTTTCCCCAGATTTGTGAGAAACACCCCATTCTGTGCCCAGATGGGCTGGTTTGAAGTTTCTGAGCTAGCCAACGTCCCAGGTGTTGACCCAGGCTGGGTGTCTGATGGTGCCGACCCGTTTGGACTGCGGCTGTGCRTTATCCAGAGCTGGAACCTCCTGGTACGAGACGGTCCCTTCCCTCCGCGTGGCGGGAGGAAGGTTTCACCCCTGAAGGGCTTGCAGGGACTGGGGCTGCACTAACGTCTCACCAAGGCCCAGGAGGAGCTTGGGATGGGGCTGGCGCACCCCAGTGCTGCCGGGGCCACCCAGGGGCGCAGGTGCCACCGCGTCACTGCTCGTGTCCGCTGCCGAGCTGCTCCTCCTGGAGCCCGGGACCGCTGGACCAACTGCCCCGGCTGTTCCCAGGGGAGGCCGCAGGATCCCACAGCCACGCGTGGTGCTTCARGTGCGGTTTGGCAGGTCCGTAGGTGGTCTGGTGAACTTCTGGCTTCCCAAACACCAGCAGTGTCAGTASGTTGGGGTGGTGGGTGGGTGTGTGGGGAGAAGCAGCTCCCCTGGCTACAGCTGTAGGCAAGAGAAGCAGTTAGTCCAAGCCCGTTTTCCAGCCACACCAGCAGCCCGTGGATGGGCAGTTGCAGTCGAGGTGATTCATCCGTGCTTGGGAGGTCCAACGTAGGTGGCATGAGTCACCCYGCAGCAGCACCTGCCTCCCTGCACAGCAGGGACCAGTTCAGGTGAAGGCTGGAATTCGGCTTGAGGATTAGGACACCCAAACTTCAAGTGTCAACACGTCGGTGTCTCAATGTGCACGAGGTGCCTGTTGCTTAACCAAGAAATGGCYGAACCAAGTGGGATGAGTCCCACCGCTCATACCCGGCGCCTGTTTTCCAAGGCTTTGCACCTCTTTCAAAAAGAAGCATTAAGATAACAAGGAAATCCTGCAGCTCCTTAGCTGCAAAAATTGCAGGCCTTGTGTCAGTGCTGGCTGCGTGCTCAATATCTGCTGCAGGGTATGGCGGGAGGATGGGCAAGAAGCCACTGCTCCCAGGCCCGGTGCTCCTCACGCCTCTGTTGACTGCAGAGCCGCTGCTGTGGGATAAGCAGGGACACTCTCCGAGCCTGGCCGAGCACCCGCATCGATACCTGTGGCCTGGAGTCACCGCACAATGTCCAAGTGGAAAGAAGCAGGGTTTGCTCGAGCCCTCCCTCCCCGCGCGCCCAGCCAGCAACCGGCTCCGTCCAACCCAAAGCAGCGCGGGCCGGGAAAATCACCCTGAACTTCCTCCTGGCCCYGGGATTTGCCACGCAAGCAGCTTCCACAAGCCGGGAAAGCCACCGGCAGGTGCTTCAATAACACGTCAATGGTTTCTCCTTCGACAGGTACCTCTGGAAAGTGCCGAATTTGGGTGCTGGGCAAAGCGGAGGAAGGACGAGCACAGCGCACGGCGCTGCCCTCCGGCTGCTCGAGCAGCTTGGCCTGCCCACGTCTGCGAAAGCACCACGGCCCGCTAAGAATTTAAGAGCATCGATCATACAGTTTAATAAATACGTAAAAGGATCTAATCTTTCTTTTTTGTTTTTGTATTTTTTTTGTTTCTTTCGGTTTCTAGCTTTGATAAAAGGATGATTGTCCCGTGAGTAACTAAGGCAAATTTAGTTTGCATGTGTTGTTGCTCTCTCTCCTTTTTTGTTTTTTCTTTTTTTTTCCATTGTTTTGTACATAAAGCAATCACATAAAAATAGTTATAAATAGAAAAATTGCAAAGTGTTTTTCTTTTTCTTTCCCCCATAGACAAATAGGAAAACAAAAACAAACCAACAAACAAAACGAGACGAAAAAAACCCACCTTGCTTCAAGTTCTTGTAGATTATACAGTACTCRGCATCTTTGGATACTTTACAATGACTCCAAATTGTAGACAAAACCACCTGAAGTAACCAGTCATTTGCAAAATGTAGTCTGTATAAGTCAATACAGATTAAAACAAAAAACTTGATGTTTGAAAAAGTTTTCTTTTTTTTTTCTTTCTTCTGCTCTGGTTGGTTGCGCACAGCGTCTTTGTGGGGTGGGATATTCTCGGGGACGGGTGATGCGTTGGGGTTGTGCGTCTCCATGGGTTCTCCGAGCAGCGTGGCCTCCGTGCGGGACCCTCGGTCGTGGCCTCTGAGCAGCCCCAGCAATGGGTAAACACCCAAATTACAAAATAATAATAAAATTACAGTCCTCTTATTCCCTTTGATTCTGTGCATCCTGCCAGTCTGCCTCCAGGAGGAAGGGATCAGCTCGGGGGGTCTCGTGTTTTGGGGGAAACCTTTAGTAGGACCTTTGCTACTAAGGTCCCCTGAGATGGGACAATGTGGGCACAAAGCTTTGCGTCTGATCAAAATTGCACTGTTGGTGACACTCAGGTGTGCTACTTTTTGCCACCAAAATATATATTTATAGAGATTTTTTTGGAAGGTGTGTGAAGAAGAAATTAAGGACAAACATCTCAAAATGTTTGAGAAATTGGGGCTTCAAGTCAAGGGAGCTGTTAGGCCTCATTGATTTAAACGGGCTTTTTTGCATCAAAATTTTATCGCTGCAAAGCGAAGGCTAAAAAAAAAATAGAAGGAAATGTTTCCCTCCAGAATCACATTCTTTTTTTGTTTTCTTTTTTTTTTTAATGCCGCCGCAGTCGAAATGCTCAGAGTGGGATTTGGTTCCTTGTYGAGTATGTTGAAATGGGACCAAAACAACCCAAACTGCCCCGTTACCCTGGCCAGGCTCTGCTCCCGGGTGACATTCAGCCTGTTTTGTGTCAGGGTCCCAGCTATCCCAGCACAGCTGCCCTGAAGGCTACTGGAGGCGYCTGTGGAGCTCGGCCCGTGTCCGTGTCCCCCATCGCCTTCCCGCGCTCCTTAGCGGAGCGAATCCCGTTGCCAGATGTGGCAATAAAAGCCAAGATTAAAAAATGAAGCCACCCCTAGAGCCCCATGACCAAAATGGCCGAGGAATGCAGCGTAYGGGGAGCAAGCGCGGCCGCCCCGTCCCTCACCGTCCTCGTGGAGGCGGCCACGGGCCGGGGCGGCGGCGGCCGCCTCAGTTTCCCGCCTCGGAGATGGGCGCCACGTGCGCCAGCCCCGCGAGGCCRCCAAAGCTGCCGCTCCATGGGTCGGGCAGCGGGAAGAAGGGCTGTCCCGTGAGGCTGTCCTGGCGGCCCAGGGCGAGGGCGAAGAGGCCCGCGTTCCTCTCCATGTCCATCTGCGCGCGCCGCAGCAGCTTCAGCTGCGTCTCCTCGAAGCGGCTCTCCAGCTCCTGCAAGCCAAAGGCGTCGGCGGCGCCGCCGAGGAGGCGCTCGGCACCGGGGCCGGGCAGGCACACGGGCGCGCTGCCGAGATGGCCGYCCACCTCGAGATGGCCGCCCACCTCGAGATGGCCGCCCACCTCGCGCAGGGCGGGCGGCACGGCGAACGCCTTCTCGCCCGGCGCGGCGCCGCCGCCACCAGCACCACCGCCGAAGAGCAGGCTGGCGGCCCGCCACGCCGCCGGCTTGCGGCCCCGCCGCGGCCGCGCGATGCGGCAGCTCTGGCGCTTGATGTGGCGGTGGAGGTGGTCRGAGCGCGTGAAGCTCTTGTAGCAGAACTCGCACTGGTAGGGCCGCACGCCCGTGTGGATGCGCATGTGGTTCTTCAGGTCGTAGTTGTGCACGAACTTGGCGTTGCAGTGGATGCAGAGGTAGGGCCGCTCGCCCGTGTGCTTCCGCATGTGGATCTTGAGCTTGTCCTGCCTGGAAAACAAGAGCGTGGTCAGCGAGGCAGCGAGGTGCYGGTGCAGCTCCCCTTTTCGGACGCGTCGGGAGAACAGGATGGATGTAAGACCTTCAAGAAGTCAGGAGGTGGTGCGAGGGGCTGGATCACCTGGAGACACAGCGCGGGGCTGGTCTCCAGCCCATGGACCAGCTCCTGTCCTTCAAGGAGGACTTTGGCCCTGCAATGGTAGGGCTTTGGCACGTTGAGTGTCAGGACTCCTTGGGACTGCTCATTGGACTTGYTTGGGTTCAACCAGAGGAGATGAGTGCCTGTAAGGGGCAGCCCCAGCCCTTTAGGAGTCTGCAGCGAACTCCAAGCATTTATTGGAAATGACAAAAAGAAAAGGAGGGAGTAAAGGCTACCTGTGGGAATACCCACAAAGGAGAGAGGCTTCTGCAGGCCAACTGCTCTTATGCTCCCAATGACCACTGGGTGTCTCAGGAGCCCTCGTTTGAAGCTGGAGCTGCTACGCGGGCCAGAGCGTGGGCAGAGCTGGGCGCTCCATGGGTTCCAAGGCCGGCACATACACACACACACACACACACACACACACACACACACACACACACACACACACACACACAGACCTACTTGCACTTCCAGCCTCCAACGACTGCACAAGGTCTGGAGGTGGTTCTTAAAGGCAGCCACAGGATGGCAGGGCACCCATCCTGATTGCCTTTGTGTGCAAAGGCAGGATTTCCAGAGAGGGGAAACACCAGCAAGCAGGAAGAACGCTTTCCCAAGCCGGCCATGCAGTCACTGCTGTGATTTTGTTTTCCCAATAAATAAATATTCCCCTCTGCAGTCTGCAGCTGCACAACTAAGGCACCCGATGATAAAAAGTGAATTTGCGTGAGCCTGGCCAAGTTTGCTGCTGAGATTGCACAAGTGCAGTGCAGCACAGAAAGCAAGGAAACAGCAAAGCGAGGGCATTGCAGCTGCTTTCTGACATGCTTTGGGCTTGATCTCTTCGAGACATTAGTGACTGATGCTAAGAACACATATAGAGCTATGGTATTCATATACATAAAATAGGTGAGCTTGCAAAAAAGGAGCCAAAATATATTTATGCTCAGGTCAAGCATTAAAACTGTGCAAGGTGCTGCCCACAGACAGCTTTCTGCCCCCCTGTCCATGCCCCTCTTGAAACAGTTGGTGGTGCTCGGATCAAATCCTGTTGCTTTACATGAGTCCTGTCATCTGGTGCCCAGAGCAGTGGGTCAATGCCGTGCACGGGGCTCCCTGGGCTCCGTACAGACCCATGGGAGTCCGACCCACAGATGGATGGGTCAGACCAACCACCTGCTGCCAGTGCGCTGCTCCCATATCCCCTTGGGAAAACTTGTCCCGGGGCATAATGCAGCAGCACTGCAGGCGACGGAGATGCTTTCTGCTTGCTCCGCAGCTCAACTGAGCTTGCACAGCCTTCGGTTTTCCAAGGCTTGCAACTTGGCGAGGTTTGCAGGGAGGCAGAGAAATGCCCCTGCGCCGGGCACCGGCCCCAGCTCCTGCTCCCGAGAGCCAGGCCTGATCTTTGCAAAGACGCTGCGGTGCCGTGCTTGCCGCGTGGGCACGGTGCCCCTTAGCCTCGCTCTCGGAAAGTGCTGAAACCGGTTCTCAGAAACAACACAAAGACGCATGGAAAATTTCAGCCCAAGTGCAGCACGCGCGGCGATGTTACAAGCCGACGGGAACAGGGTCTCGTAACGCACACTGTTGGGAAACCTTAATAAAAAGCAGAGCTACCAGCCCCACCTCTAGCATAATTTAAACCTATATATGTAATGTTTAACCTAGCAGGATCGCTTTTCCTAATAAACACGCGGCGTGCCAGGGTTGTACAATGTAAATACAGGCAGAGCTCTTGCAGGCTATTACCCATCTCTGTCAGCAGGCAGGGAGAACCGCGATCCTTCCCTGCACGCCTCTGCTGCAGCGGCAGCTCACGGGCTACAGAACAAGGGAGGTTTTCCAGGCTCTTTTTCCTCCAAAATGATATTTTTCAGGACATGCCGATGTGCAGGGAGAAGCTCCCAGGAAAGGGSCCTCCATGCTGGTAGGTTGGGTGTTTGGAGCAAGCTGCCCAGCTTGCCGTGTGCCCCATTGCGGGATCGGGGGTGGGTTGGTGGGCAGCAACACGTGCCAGCTGCGTGTGGATGCCCCTAATGCAATTGCATCAGGAGAGCGATTAGGGCTCTGCGAGCTGTCACAACACAAATAACACGAGCAAATAAAGTTAACCTTTCTGGCTGCAGTAGTTTCTCCTTGAATGCTCTGGGGCTGCCTTGGTGGGAAAGCTGAAATATTTGCACTTTTCTTCAGTCCTTTAGCAGGGCAAAACAAGAGCCCAGACCCTGAGCAGCCTTTGCTTAAGAAAAAAACAATGAGCTATTGACTGAAGTCTGGCCTCCTGCAACTAGATGCCCACCAGAGCCAGGACCGATGCAAGGTCCTTGCTGTGGGATAAAAGGGAACCCTCTCTGCTTCCTGCTTATCAATTGGCAGTGGAGATAAGATGCATGGGAGGATTAACCCGGGAATTTCGCTGGGATCTGTGTGGTACCCAGTTTTGCATCTCCTGCTGCTGGTTGCAGTGGGTGACAGTCCAATGCTCTCGGGAAGCGGGAGACTCCCTGGCAGAGCGAAATGCATAAGGCAAGTGGCCTTAAAAAATAAAATCAATGATCTGAAACTTCCACTTTGCTCACGGTGTTAAAGCRGGAAAAACCCTCCAGCCTCCAGCTCTATGTGGGGAGGCGGGAGCCTTCCCTCGGGCTCTGCAAACAGGCTGTGTGCTGACGACCTCCTCCCAGTGAGGGGGATGTGGGAGGGATGGTGCCTTGGGGCTGGAAGTCCTCCCGACCTTCTGCTTTGTACTGAGAGGCTGCCAAGCACAAGGAGGGCACGAAAGGAGCCGTGAAGTTTACACATCAATTAGTAATAGTCCATGCTAGGCCAAAACGGGATGTGATGCTGAGCAAGCCAAGGGTCTTTGCAACTGCAGCCATTGCCCCATTCCGGATTGGGTTTCCTCATTTGATTTTCTCAGAGGAAAAGTAGTAGAGAGGACAGTAGTAGAGACTATAGTTGCAGTGATGGGACCAGCCGTCAGCCCATTTAAGCTCAGCGCTCCAAGGTGCTGAGGCTGGAATTAAACCACGGGTGGCATCGACCTCCTCTGATGGTGGCTGGTTGCCACTTGCACACGGGATGCGGCATGAGGAGGTGTAGAGCTCAGRGGGAGCAGAACCTCAATGGCCAAACTGAAGTGAGAACTGCCTCTGTGGCTCACAATGAGGCAAAGATTTAAGCTCCAAGGAGTAGCAGCTCAATGCACTAGGCTTCCTGAGGCTCCCTGGCCAGGAAGACGAACGTGCCCCAACGTGAGCTCGTTGGGAGCCGCTCTGAGCGCACGCGGTGGGTCTGGGACCAGGGATGGCTGATATGGCTGGGCCATCTCTGCGTGACGGCGCGCGGGCGGTGAAGAGCGGTGACAGGCAGCTCCTATCGTGTCACCTCGCAGCTCTGTGGCAGGGGGCTCTGCGGCCTCACAGCCCCTCGAGCTGCGGCTGTCACAGGTCCTTCGAGAGCCACGCGCGGCCAGGCAGCGTCTCGGCAAGGTGGAGGCTCGGGAGCATCRCTTCCCTTCTCCCACATGCTGGTTCACCTGGTCTATCAAAGCCTGGAGTAGGGGCCAGGATACCCAAATTTTCACCCAACCACTCTTTTAGCTATTGCAGTAAGYGTGAGCCAATGCCAACATCTCGCCGTGCCTCAGTCTCCCCAGACAAAGCCCAGGATATTGGCCTTGTTTGCAAAGGAAGGACTAAACCCTAGCACTACTGTTACAAGAAAGGGGTCACCAATCCACCAAGGCATTTCACTTTCCTCCCTGCAACTATCACTGAAGTGTCACATCCAGGAGCAGTGATAAGAGCTCAGGAGACAGCAGGCCAAGCCCCAGCCATGGCCTGGGCTCCGGTCTGGAGATATATCCACTGGGATGAACCCCACCACTCGTCCCGTTGCACGCCCCGGCGCGACGCTCCATGCATTATAACACAGCGTCTGCTGCGCTTAAGGAGCAGAGCACGGGAATTTATTGTCAGGTCAAATCCTCATCATCTGCATAAATTCCACTTGAGTATTATCACAGGGACGGGAGAAGAAAAGACAGGCTGAATAGAGGAGCACCCCAGGTGTCTGGTCGCTGTCGGGGGCTCGGCAGCTACTGTGCACATCATTTTGCTCTGCTTTTCTCAGCCCAGCCTAACCGGGCTCTCTGTCTCACACGTAGCCAGCAGCTGAAATACCACGCTCTTGTCAGAAAGCTTTATTATTGTGGTAAAGATTGTACTCATTAGATATTAATTATACGCAGCAAGAGCCAGTCCAGGAATCTATTTGTCTCTGCTCACCAATTAAACTTGCCCAGCTTTTCAAAGACTTTACGTTCACATAGCCCTCTCAGAGCCCGCTCTGATTTATTAGCATCTAGGGCTCTGCGAGGGAGCAGAGAGATGGTGAGGCCAGGAATTRGCACAGAGGGTTGATCTGAGCTTGCTGTCTCTGCTCAGACCTAGCTTAAGAYGAGTTTTACCTAACTTGAAATTCCTAAAGCCAAATTATTTTATAAGTCTCACAAGCTCTTTGCAGTCAGCCAAGAGTGAGGCCCCCCTTACTCATCTCCCTTTGCGTTGGCCAACACCTCCAAAGGGGCTTCTATTGTCCCTCTGTGGAGCGAGCCTAGCTGCCAGCTCTTGGATGGTTGACATTATGGGTGATGAATCCCACCCTCGCAGATGGACATACAACAATTCGGACCACTCTGGCCTCTGCAAGTGCAAACACTGTCCTGGTCTACACTGTCATGTAGACCATCAGTGATCTATGCTGATGCCAAAACAATGTGCAAAACCGAACTACATCCCACAGCTAAATGTCCCTCCCAACCCAGCACTTCTCCCCGCACACTAGAGATGAAGCTTCTTTGGCCCTTTCACCAAGAGCAGCCATCTGTTTTCCTCTGGTCTTAGGCACAAACAGCACTTTCTGCTCCAGCTGTGGTGAACTATGGCAAGGCTGAAAATCTTCAACTATTTATTTCAGCTTTTGTACAGTAAGTGATTAAGACAGATCACTCACAAGCCACTGAAATACACGGCTTTGTTTTCTTTCTTTCCTTCTCTCTCTCCTTCTTTCTCTCTTTCTTCCTTCTTTCTCTTTTTGCTTTTAAGAGATATTAAGAGATAGAGTTCAGCTCTATATGATTTTTTTCCTACTCCCTCTAGAGCAAAACAGATATAGTTCAGGTGCCTGTGTCTTCACAGCCCTGTGTGGTTATGTGCTGCTGTGGAAGTAGCTGCGCTAGAGCACAGCAAGGCACCGAGGGAGCAGGCGAATGCAAAGGATCCCTGGAGACCCAGTGCAGAAGTCACTGCGACTTCAGACGAGGGTCATTACCCTTAACTTACGTTGATAAGTTATTACTTCTGCAGGTGGAAACCTCTGCCCTTCACTGGCAGAGCAGTTATCAGCCCTTCTGCTGTAGTCRTCACCTCCATCTAGGGAGCAACGAACACTGAGACTTGGGGCCACCTGGTGCCACCATAAGGGTTGTCTCCTCTGTTGCCTGCCGCTTGTCCTGGGGGCAGGATGCTGCCTCCCCTCATGGCACCCATGGTAGAGCTCCAGGAATCATCCATGGGTTTGGGAATGAGCCCCCTCCATCCCCTGCTGCCGCCCCCTGCCTCTCCACGAAGCCTGGCAGAGAAACCCCATGCCCACCTGGTGAAGCGGACCTCACAGATATTGCACATATACGGCTTCTCTCCCGTGTGGGTCCTCATGTGCCGGGGCAGCTTCCCGGCCCCCATGATGACTTTGTTACAGATGGGGCACTGCTGCGACGCCTTGGGCTTTATCTTCCTCTCTTCCTCCAGAGGCCATGGAGGAAAAACTCCTCCAAACTGGGTTGCACTTAGGAAATTGAGATAAGTGCTGTAGTCAGTCTCTGCCTTAATATGCCCTAAGGGAGCTGCTGGGGTGTTGGTAAATATGTCCTTGAAGAAGTCATTAGGGAAAGGAGGAGGAGGAGGAGGCAGGTCTTCCTTCTCCTCCTCTTCCTTGATCTTCCTCTTTTTGATCACCAGATCCAAAGGGCCGTTGTCTACTTGTGACTCCTCGAGCTGGGAAAAGGAGTTAAAATCACCATTCCAGAGGTGGGGGAAGAAGCTAGGGGTGAAAGGAGAGAGAGCTGTCCTCCTTTCGGGGATGTTTGTCTTAGGGTACAAATTCTCCCTCAGCAAGGACTCAATGGAGAAGTCTCGTATCACACCCAAGTGTCCAGATGAGTTATTGGCTGGATAGTGATTTGGAAAGTCTTTAGGTGCTTCTGTATATGCTTCTTCGGTAAGATCAGACTTAGAAGGGCTTTGGTGACAGCTTACTTCTTGGACATCAGTTAGGTTCTCCTGATTGACAAAATCCTCCACTTCCTCCTCTTCTTCCTCCTCCTCCTCCTCCTCCTCATCTTCATCTTCGTCATCGTCTTCGTCCTCTTTGTCATCTTCCTCTTCTGCCTCTCTGTCAGGTTCCATGATTTCAAGGCATACGTTGATAATGCACTGAATCTCCAGCATCTTGGCCGCGCTGAGGATGTGCTTGACGTTTGAGGTGGTGATGGTGAGGGTTGAGGTGTAGGCGAACTCGAGGATGGCAGAAAGTGCTTCAGGCTTGACAAAGTCAATCTCGTAAACATAGGGCTGGTCTGTTAAAGTGCTGGTAGTGAACAGTTTTTTGAAGTACTTGCTGCAGGCAGCAAGGACAGACCGATGAGTCCGGTACTCCTGGTCCTGCACAATGAGGATGACATCGCAGAGGAGACCGTCGTGTCGCTGCTCATTTAAACCGCATAGGACTTCACTGCTGTGGTTCGGGAATGGGATCCCGATAAGATCTTCAATGCCATTGGCCATATTCTCATTTAGTGCCCTAGGACAAAGCAGAGACAGGAGGGCGTTAGCAGGGGGGTTCCCAATCAGTAACATCTAAATGGCCCTGCCTTCTGCTGCAGTATTTTTCTCTCTTCTACATCACTTCCATCTCCATAATCACTCTCTGATTCCACTGCCCCAATACATTAAATCTCCCTGTCACCTTTACCTCCTTCCACATCCTCTACCTCTGTTTTCCTCTATGTCCATTCAAGTCTCCTTCTTTGTCTCCTTCCTTCTCTCCTCTGTTCTCAGCACCAGCACGTGCTCCCTCCTCTTTTTCACATCCTGTCCCCAGGAATCTTGCTCCACGACTTCCTCCCCATGACGCCTCTTCCACATCCTCCTGGAGCCACCACCATGCAGGCGCATGCAGAATTTGCCATGTTGGGCACTCTCTGGGGAAAGGGTGACGCTGCATTGTCTCACACTGCTTGGCACCAGCTCCTACCCCACTAAAGCAGGACCAGCCAGGGAGGGTCCTTGGAGCTACGCAATTTGGTGACTGGTACAACCAGACTTCCCAAGCTAGGAGGGACACAGCTCCTTGCCGCAGCAGGAGAGCTGTCCTCACGGGCCAGCAGCTCYCCAGGTCCATGACCCATGCTCCACTCACCCCTGGCAACTTCCCCATGTGGACATTACACAAGAGTGTCTTGTTGGGGGATCTCAGAAGGAGACAACCAAGCACTCAAGCGCTGAGYGAGGGCCTGGCCAGAGGCAGATGGGTGCGTGTTGACTCCACCAACGAGCCGAGCCTGCCCTGGCCCTGATTCTGTCCAGACAYGTTAGCGTGTTATCAAATGCCCCGTGTGCCTGGCAGACACCTTCCCCTGCCAGAGCCGCGCCGGCTGCAGAGCGGAATTCGGAAACACAAAGCCCACACCCAAAAGGAAAACCTTATTTTTTGCCATTTTTTAATCTGTAAGATGTTTCCTCTTTTAAACAGCTCCAACAGCTCTTCCACATGAGAAATCCCAGGAAAGGAGAGCGACTTCCTCCAGCAAGTTAGGAATGCATTAGTCCTGTCACATGCAGAATATATCAAGCAGCCCGGGCAGCTTGGGCTACGTGAAGCCTTTGGAAGCCCCCAGGACACAGGGAACGCGGTAATGCTGTTTCACCTCCAAAAGCCCCTCTGCAGAGCAGCTGCTTCACTGCTGAGCAGGAATTCTCCAAAAAAGCCAGCCTGTGCCTAAGTAAGCCCTACCCCTAGCCATYTCTCAGGGCTTGATGCCATCGTGCGCCAACATGCGGCTTCCCACCCCAGCCTATCTCTGCCCCTCTCTGGGATCCATCCCCCTGGCCTGGGAGCTGCTCCGCAGGCAGCGTTCCCGTGAGAAGGGGCCATGGTTGCCTCCTCCTGCCTCCGCAGGGTCAATCAGCAGCCGAGGCCTTGCCCTTATCTCCCCCACACCTAATCAGCGCTGCCGAGCGAGCGGCTGCCGCGGGGGAGCAGGTGGGCGAAGGCCTTGGGAAAACGGTGCCACAGGAGCGGAGCGCGGAGCAGCCACCCACGGGGCASCTCTGCACGCGGGGGCTGCTCTGTCTGCCAGTGCAGCAAATCCGCTCCCTTGGAGGGTACGGGCGAGGTCCGGAGGGACAAGTAGGAGCCCGGGCAGTGCCACGCTGTGGCTGCGAGCGCTCCTCACCGCTSTCCTCCTGGGGAGACCTTCGCAGCCCTCAGGGTGCTGCAGCTCAGGAAGCCCCACCTCAGCCCCAGTGCTCAGGGCCAGCCACGGCCCAAAGAAGTGAACAWTTATGTCCTGTGCCAGGGCTAACGATGGCCCCATCACACCTGCTCTGCACCCACTGTGACCTCCTGCATCCCGCCGGCTCATCCCTCTCCGTGCAGCTTCTCCCCGAGATCCCAGGATCTGATGGGGCTCTAGCTGAAGCCCACAAGCATGGGCTGACAGAGCARGACTCTTCATGCCCCTGGGTGGCTGCCCTCACAACGCTGCTCCCGACCAGCCAGCCCAGAAGAGAACAGGCTGCTGACACCCCTCCGAGCCCCTCTTTCAGCTCCAGGCACCARTGTCCAGTGTTTTCATCTCAGGAACAAAGATCCCAGCCCCGCATCCCCTGGCGCGCACATTATCTGCAAAGTAATTATGCCTGTTGTCTGAAACAAATTGGTTCATTACAGTGTGCTGTGCTTAACCACGTTAACCAGTWACGCTCTTCCCACAACCCAACAGGCTCCACCAAAAACCTTCCTTTAATATCGCTGACAAATGACAGCAAATCCAACATGTTATCCAAGTGGAGCGGAAGATTGTAAACCAGTCCCTAYGCAGGGGAGGAAGAGACAACTTCCTTTTTCGGGCTTTGCATCTTAATAATAAGCACATGCAATTCAATTCCCTCTGCTGCATTTATTTTTTAGCCCTTTGTAATTTCTTTTTTTGCTTTGATAAACATTGATGTCCAAGCAACGTGGTGTCCACAGGAATTCCGAGCTGTTCTTGCCGGATCAGCATACGTGCCAGAGATCAGGAAAGCAGCAGACTACGAGATTGTTCTGAATTCCTCAGGTCTCATTGCCGAGGGCTTCATTATTTCTCCTGGACACTCGGCTCAGGAGTCCCTGATTTGTGGCTTGTTCACTCAGCAGCCRCAAGAGGGAAAGAAAAATGGAATTAGAAGCGAGAGCAGGAGGTGGGTTATAAAGCCCCCAATACAGCGGGAAAAGGAAGGGACAGCTGTTGTGCCCAAAATGATGCACAGCTCCCTTCGGTGGCAACGGCCTCATTTCCCTTTATCTTCCCACTCTCGCTCTGCCGAGATGTGCTTTGTTAACCGGGAAGCTGATAACTTACAGGACGGTGGCAGAATTGAAGGTGATTCATGTAATTTAAATGTGGTGGGGAAAGGAAAAAAAAAGAAGAAGAAGAAGAAGAAGGGAGGCAAGAGGCCATCCATTTGCATAGTTTGCAGAAAGGGCATTTTTCCCTCACAGGGCAGTGTGACAGCTCCATGGTGCCACGCGGGGCCCGCAGCCTGAGAAATGACCTTCCGATTCCCGTGTGCGAGGCTGCCCTTCCTCCAGCCGCCCTCCTCGTCCTCCTCGTGCGCCAAGCCCGGGGCGGAGGCCACCAGAATCACCCATGAAATGCAGCAAAAAAAGCGCCCTGCTCATGTAGCATTCCAATAAGTAAAAAATATAAACCTGCTAAATCCAGTGGAATAAACTATACATTAACATTGCATATCATTAGTTGCACATATCCCTTGGGTGCCCCAAGGAGGAGGAAACGGGTGGCTGCGGAGCCAGGCTGCTGGGCGCGGGGACGGGATTTGGCTCCGCTATCCCTGCTCCTCCTTGCCAGCCTCCGCTCCAGCCTCCGGCAGGGAGGCAGCGGCTCCTCGGCCGCGCCAGCCCGCGAATGGAGGATTTGGGGTGTTTTTATTATTATTATTATTGGGTATTTGTGCATGTGAGACCACCCTCATCCGCCAAGGTGCAACAGCTCCTCTGCAGGGGGATTCATCGAGCAGGGATTCACATCTCCGGCCCCTTCCATGCACTGCCGTCCATGTCCTGGTCTGCCGGTTATTCCGTGGGAATTGGTTCCCGGCTCCACCACCAGCTGSCCCATGACCTTGAGCGAACCTGCTGCTCTCTCCCAACCACCCAAAAAACCAGGGCTTGCCCCATGCCCACCACCAAAGGGAAGGAAGCTCATTTGGCAGAGCTGGGCATCTGCAAAAGCCCCTTCGGAAGGGCAGACGGAGAGACTTTTTACCCTTTTATTTGGAAGAAAAGRGGGAAAAAAAAGCAGAATTTAAAAGTCAGAGAGGTAAATATTTCCTTAAGCGCTCCTCCCCTCCGAACATCTTGTCTCCCAAGGAACGGGTTATTAAAGCACCCAGCCTAGGAGCCGGCGTTCCTCCCCTCCGGCAGGAAGGTGGGGCAGGGAGCGCTCCGTGTCTTCCCAGCGCATCCCGGCGCAAGGCCGAGCCAACGAGGAAAACACCACCTCCCTCCCGGGGAAATAATCGCATATAGAGAGATATAGATATAGTCATATTTTTTAAAAGGAGTTGATGGAAGGAGCGAGAGAGCAGCCTTGCCCTTGGGACCAGTCGCGCTTAGGGAGCTGGGCACTGAGCAGGGAAAGGTGCCTCCTTGCTAAGGGCTGCGTAGAAGCTCATCCGGCCAACGACCGAGGCCAACAAGAAAAACAAAATGAAAAAAACACGGAATTCCTGGATTTTGTGCGGATCCAGACATGGCAGGCAAGGGCAGCGGTTTCCAAAGCGATGCCTGGGGAGGGAAGGATGCCAAGAGCGTCACATTAACCACATCTATCGTGCGGCTGGCAGGTTGAGCCCATGTCAACGATGGATATTTGCACATACTGTGCAAAACTGTCCTGTTTTGCAGTCTGGCCCTTTTGCTTCCGATAAGCAGGCATCAGAGGGCCGTGTTCACCACCAGGCTCAGCACGCCATGCAAAATCCAAGGTGGAAGAGCCACCTTCAGAGCGGGCTGGACAACTGCTCCAGTTTGCCCAATGATCCCCAGCGTGTGGTGGGACAGGAAATCCCTCTTTTCACTCAGAAAGGTGACACAGAAATCCCTCTTTTCACTCAGAAAGGTGACACTTCAATCACCCAGCCCCAAAGCCAGGCCGGGCACCAGCACTTAGGACCTGCAGCTTGAGCTCCCAAGGATCTCCAGACTCTTTCGTGTCTCCTCCGTCTTCCATCCCTGCCCCTCTCCACCGAGGTCTCGCACCCCAGTGTAGCCCTAACGGGTGGTTATAACGTCCCCGGGACCTGGCTTTGCAAGATGAAGCTGGAGGTGCTGTCCCCCCACCAAGCCCTGCGCTCCCCAAATCCCTGAACTTCCCAGCTAGATGCAGACAAGAGCTCTGGCAAGGGCAGAGCCCAGCCTGAAGCCTCTGGTAATTGTAGGGCTGCATTTTTAGTCTGATTTCTTCTTTCTGCCTTCTTTCAAGTACTCAGCACGCTCTGCAGTTTCAGAGCTTA